AGGGAGGAAACTCGTAGAAAAACCTTTGTATCAAGGGAGAGACGTAACAAACTGGCTCTATTAACAAGTGATGCCAAGTCCAGAGACCCTAGAGGTAATAAGCGCTTGCACTACCGCGGCGCCTTTATCCCTTAAATTCGCCAGCACCCTTCTCTTTTTGTCTCGCCTTCTCTAAACGCGAAAGTCTTGTTTTTACATTATTTTTGAAATAAGTAAGTTTACTTACTTGTTTATCTGGTTTTGGGTTTTTTTTGCTAAGATTGAGCCGTTTTATAATCTAATTTCCAGCCGAGTAAGAGCGATATTTCTGTTCTATTCTCATCGTAGTTCTGTCGACTCAGTTTTGTGGTTGTGATTCAATGTGCAAATTAACCGCGGGTTTTAACATCAGTGTTGCATACAAAAAGCATAGAACGTGATCCGTTAATCCGCCGCAGGAAGTCACGAACAGCGGGGCTTTCCCGCTCGAAGCAATCAACATTGATCATCTAGAGTATCAATTTGCGAAGCTCATTTATTTCACATGAAGACACTGAACACGTGTGTGATTGTGTCTGGCCTGCGGCGTTGAAAATACTCTGCCTTACACTACCCCCCTAAGTATCAGATAACGCACTCTTACTCAGCCAATAATCTTCTTCAAAGGACTGGTCACAAAATAACACTGAGGGGGGAGGGGTAAGGTCGACGTTTTGAACCTCTAAAGCCAAAATAAGACATAAAGGGTGAGATTACACAAACCCCACCCTCCCCTCCCCCATACGTTTATGTCCACTTACAGAGGTCTTTTCTCATCTCAGTTTTGATCACGACCAGAGGTAAAGAATATTGTCTGTTGGTAGGAGTTAATTCTTATTGGACAAAACATGATTTATATTTCAGTAACAGATCAATGGATTAATTTGTTGATCCCTATCCCTTGACTGATATGAATAGACTTTCTGGAGAACAAGTTTCCTTGCTCGAATCGCACCCATAGTAACGTGGCGGACTCGTCAGTCAAGCTACTAGCGAAACATATATAATTATTTTTGGCGAAATAAAATGTGATCCAAAATGGAAAAAAAATACATCTAAAGGTCTATTCTTTTTTTTTTCTTTTCTATGCAGTTAAAATCTTTTTCACTTTCTTTTTTATCGCCATTTTTTTCTCTTGATCGTTATTTTCTTCTTCTTTTCTCTTCTTTTCATTTTCCCCCCTCAATTATTTTACATTCAGACTTCAGACGGTTTTATTTAATAATTTATTACGATCACTTCGCCCTTCGTCTCATTTTTTTTCTTCAATCATTAAATGGCTTTCTTTTTTCTTTTCAGTTTTACCAATATTAAGTAACATGATTTTGCGTGAGTTTGTTTTGGGGTTTATTCATACAAAGTTCGTGCACTAATTTAATCTTATAACGCTTTCATTTCCTCTTATTATTAAAAAAATAGAGCGTAATTTATAGATAAATGTATTGAACTAAAAGACCACGTATTTCGTGATTCACGACCGCTAAAGCCACAGAAAAAACCGTAACATCACGAAAAGAAAAATAGATTTTTTGTGTGGAAACTATGGACTTTAGTAGTTTAACTTTTATAGAAAGCCGTTCAAAAATCATTAAAAACGCTAAAAACTTTGATTGTTGAAAAGTGAATGAAAATTGAAAAGAAATAAATCAAAGAATCTGATTATGAGATTTGGATTAGTGTTGAATTATAGAAGATGATTTTGTCACGAAATATATACTCTTTGTATTTACATTTTAGTGATATTTGGAATTGTACAAGATAGTTCAGGTTATGTTTTCAAATTCAGTGCTCATCAACCTAGGCATATGTATTCACCGCGACGTCAATTCGTGAACTTCAAATCCGCAACGTTTATCGATGGAAAAATGATCTATCAACAATAAAAATGACGTGTTTGTTCCTTGAGAAGGAAGGAAGGAAGGCAGGAATGTCGTCAGGGTTTGAAAATTATCAATAAAGATCTTGCTTGTTAGCGCCATCTTTGCTTTTCAACTGAAAATTCAATATTACCATCAAATATCTACAGATATCRCGTCTGAAATTATCTTGTTAGAGAACGCCAAGTCTTGGACGCCGTTCGACCTCAATATATTTAACATCAAGATAAGATTTAATTTGAAAATATCAGATCAACATTTCATTCATACATGAGGTCATTTTAAGATATAACTTTATGAATTTTAAAAAGAGAAAACGAGAACAAAGAGAAGAAAAAAAAGAAAAAGAGAGAGAGAGAAAAAGAGAGAAAGAAAAGAAAAAAAGGGAAAAAAAGAGGTTATAAGTTATTTGAAACTCACCTTTAGTTGAAAGAAATCCACTTTATGCGGGCAGGCTTGGAGATTCTTTCCCTGTGGAAGCCAAACTAGAATTAGATAGTTTTCGCAAAAGTAACTCACCCCTAGTCTGGGCAAAGACAGGAAATATCAAAATCTAGTCTGCCGGAATCAAACTAAAGAAACCTTATTTGAATAAGCAATTTGCGAGTTTTGTCAATAGATGATAATTGGAGAAAAACGGTTCAGTAATCATGATATCTGCACGACGCTCGACTCCAAAACGTTTTCAAGAGATTTAGCACTTGTTGATAGTTAATCTAAAATGTTAGGAATAAAAAGAGCCTTTTTCATTTTTTTCTTATAAATTTTGACTTTT